AAAATAAATTGCTTTCCTGCGAGGGGCAAGGTAAAGGACGTGTAATCCCCTTGTTGGCTCCAACCATTTTTGGATGCAGCGTGTATGAGCGTGTGTCTGAAGTGACCCAGTAATATAAATGTAAGCATCCCATCATGTACAGAGTGCTTCTCAATGTCTTTTTGCTTCATCTGCAAGACTACAGCTGCAGAGTATCTGATGCTGAAATGGGCAATGGTCCATAATTCAACAAAAGATTGTTTTTATAAATGATTTCATTTCACCACGGAGGATCAGTCATGCATAGGTGAAACAAGCGTATCATCGTATTTTGGGCTAAGGCTATTATGGAGCCTCTCTGGACCTTTAGCACAATGAAATGAACAGCCACACGCAGAGAGAGGGGCATTAAAATTGAACGTATATGTGAACTAATGAAAAAAAAAGCTGCTGGGGGAAAAACCCAGACTTGAACACAGAGAGAAAGAAAGATGACCAAAAATCCAGTGTGAATCTGTAGAGAGGGCAGTGGGCTGAGGCAAGAAGAAGCCTCGGACAGAGAAATGAGAGTATTATAGGGGAGAGTGAGACGGGGGGGGGAAATAGGCACACAACTTCAAAATCTGAGAGGTGGAAGGAAATAGGAAGAGTTGAGAAGCATAAAAAATTAAAAGTCAGATGGGAACCTGTCAGTCTGTCAGTCACTTCAGAGGTTTGGCTTTTACTCTTCACACACACAGTGGAGCAAAAACTTTCCTCTTCTGTAACCTTACATGTCCTCTGAATGTGGCTTTTTCTCATTCAGGTAAACCTCACTGTAACTCAAAGGAAATCAGGTTTGGTTTTATACGATACAGACGTCCGTACATCAAAACTTAACACAACAGTTTAGATTGATTTTCTGCCCTTGCTAGTTTGCATGCATGCCTGTGCAATATGGAGATGTACTTGGCAGGACTTGAAACGTTGCCTGTAACAGGTAATCAATCACAGAGAATTTGCTGTATCTGTCTTTAATTTTGACCAAGGTTTTTTTAATATGTGCTGAAGCTGCACAGGACTGTTCAGAAAACCTTTGGTACATTCAGGTTCATCTGGAGACTGCAGATATTGGTTGAGCAAGAAATTGAATGTAGGTTTTTTTTGTCCCATTTGGTTCTTTAGCCATCAGGAAAAGCATGCAAGATCAACAGCGCACAATGTGCTTTGAGGTAGCAGCCAAGAAAGGTGTAGTTTGTGTTTATGTACACCTGTGTGGACGGGCGCACTTGTATTCAAAAGGTTTCTCCATGTAACCATCTGCTGGTGGGTGTGGGGAGCCATAGCCCCGTCCACCAAGGCATGAAGCAGGCATGGAGGAGATCCAGGCTCCAGACATCCAGAGGCCCCAGAGTGCGAGAGCCCAAGGAGGACCAACAGAGGGGCAACCGTGCCACCCTCCTGGGAGGAGCTGAGGAGAGCCCCAGACGAGGGCTCACCCAGCAGCCACAGAGCAGAAGCCAGAGGGGGCTGGAGTAATGTGCCAGCTGTGTCAGAGTGCACAAAGCCAAAGGCATCAGCCACCGGCAGGGAGTGTGGTGGGAATTTAATGGAGTTTTCATCAGCTGGTTCTCAAGTTTTTGAAGCTGGAGCTTCCATCAGATAACTGTGTCTGCATGTCAACATAAAAAGACAAAAATACACTCGGCTACTGTCATGTTCAGGAAACATGGTGAGACATGGTGACATATCCTGCTAGAAGCAGCCACCAGAAGATGAAAACTGTGTGTATCTTCACATAAAGCTGTAGTGTTTAAATGATGCTCGGCTGGTAGTTTACCAAACTGTGCCTGCCATCTGATTCCATAAATCAAGACACATCAGACCAGGCAGTGTTTTCCAGTCTAGTTGTAACAGCAGTGGCACCTGGTGTGGTCTTGGATTCAGGGGTGCTCTTCTGCAGAGCTTGGTTGTAATGAATGTCTATTTGAGTTACTGTAGCCTCCTTATCAGCTCAAAGAGGTCTGGCCATTCTCCTCTGACCTCTGACACGAGCAAGGCATCGTTGCTCAGAGAACTGCTGCTCACCAGATTCTGTCTCTTTTTTGGACCTCTGAAAAGTTATCCATGAACTTTTAACCCAGCTGAGAAAATCTCAGTTTTTATTCTTAATTTGAAAAGATAAAAAAAAAAAGATGAGACAGTGCGAGCGAATTGGGTAAAAGAAATTCAGTAAATGTGAAGTTTTTAAGGCAAATCAAATCTACATTAAATATTCCTTATTTTATAAAATCTGGATGGAAGGTATCCGTCATAGAAAATCATGTGTGTGCGCGTGCGCAGGATGTTTTGATTAAATATAAAACGTTTATAGTGATCCTGGTGGGGAATATGTGCAGATGATAAAGAGGAGGATACAGAGAAAGTTATTAAAAGATACGAATGCGGTTACCTGAGGAAATCTGTATCAATAGGCACGAGGGAGCCAGAGATTTATCTCACACTGCTTTCCAACAACTTTTGCAATAACACAGCTTCTGGCATCTCCCATTAATTCACTCAGATTTTTATCAGCAGTTTTCAGTGACACTGATTAAATTAATTACACTTTCCTCAGCGTGATATTCACTTGTCTTGATCAGTTTTGTCTCACTTCTCGTGCCTCATTAATCCCCAGCCGTGGTTTATTTCTCAACTTTAACTCTTTTAGATCTACTCTTTCACTTTTAACCTTTGACCTTTCACAAGGGGACATCCAGTGAATAATAAATGAAGCTGTTAAGTATGTGTAAAGTGCTATCGTATTAGAACTTACACGACTTCCTCCTTGTGTTTTGTCCATTTGTCGCTTGTGTTCCTCACACTGTGTTCTCTTACATCCCTGCCTCCATTCTTTTGTAAGCCTCCCAACTTTCTAGTGTTTTTGCTTTTTTCTGTCAGGCTTTGTTGGGACCGTGTATCAGCTTAGTATCAAAAATTGCTTTTTATCGTTCTCCTTTGTCCTGTGTGTAGGTCCTTTACCTGAGCCTTGTAGCAGGTGTATTGGTGCTGTTCCCTTTGTGTGTGTGAGAGAGAGAGACTTGGGTTTCTGATCTTTCGGTGTTTGACTAGGCTGAAGCCTAAAAAACAATATGGCCGGGTTTACTAAAACATTGTGGTGCGGAGTAAAAGATGATTCTCAGTGTTCGTGATAAGCTTCACCGTAGTTTTGTTCCATATCAACGTGACTGCTTTGGTCTGGGCTGTCTGCGTCCTATAATTGGGTGTAGTGGACTAATCTATATTTCCAAGGTTCAGAGTGCTTTAAAATGAGATCTAGCTAGGTGCTTACATTTGACAAGCTGAGGATGGGCAACAGAAAAGGCAGAAAATGAGATCTAGTCCTCGGGAAAAATGAGATCCTGCACAGCTTTACTTAAAAAAGTCAAAAGGCTTTAGAGAGTATTCCTGATCCTGGTGCATTGCGCTCCGAGTTCCTGTAAGAACTCCTAATATACAGATATTCTGCTGGGGTTCCTCATCCTTTCTGTTAACCACTTTCTCAGCTGTCACTGAGTGGGAAGTGGGGTGAACCCAGGATAAGTTGCCACTCTGTCAGAGACAGACCATTCACTTCAGCAAGTCTCACATGCATGTTTTAGACTGATGGAGGAAGTACCTGGAGAAAACCCAAGGAGAACATGTAACCACCACACTGAAAGGCCCAGAACCTTCATACTGTGGAGCAGCAGTCAGAACCACTGCACCACTCTGCCGTTTTTTCCTTATAAAAGAAATTTCTTTGGATTTCATGAGGTGAGAGAAACCGGTGAGCTAACAGATTCACTATCTTATAAACCAGCGTCGGCTTCCACCCATATCAGAATACGTTGATCCAGTATGAGTGTAAAGATGGCACCCAGAGGGAAATCCACAGTCTTTGCAGGAAGGATTCATGGACTTGGGAGGTACTTCCACAGGTTTCAGGATTCTTTGCAACTTGAGGGAAAGTTGGACAAAACCTGAACTACACTGAGGTTACAATGTTTCCCAGATCATGATGAGGATGATGAACAGAAAAGCTTTCATATAAAGATTGCAGATTCTCATGAATGATATGTGAAGGTGACTCAGAAGAAACTAGAAGAAACCTAAAAGTGTAGTTTTCACATTCCTTCTGCATTTTTTTTTTGTAGGTTTGTTTTTATCTGGTTTCTGTCAGTTTTATTTTGTAGCACTTGCTGCATCTGGCTTCATTCTGTGTGCCGCTGGGAAATCACAGGTAATCATACCAGTTAGTGCTGAGATGGGGTTTTTGCTGCTTCTGTTTGGGCACACACGAAGGGACACACACAGAGATAAAGGTGCAGGTGTATGCAAAGGCGCACAATCATCTCCCACATTTCATCTCAAAGGTACTTTTAGCCCGTACGTATGTGCGTGCATACACGTGTGTCTCCCTCAGTCACACGCATGAACTCTTACACAGTCTTCCCGCACAGCTCGCCCCGTTAGCCTCCCACTCTGTGTTTGTCGGCACTGCTGTGAGGCTTGTTAGTGCTTTTTTTAACAGCAGCTAATAGAGCACCACTGATAATGCCAACTATGCAGACCACACAGACACACACAGTCGCACATGCAAACAAGCTTTATTAGATCCTGTGGATACTTGTTGAACGACCCTGATTATCTCACTTATTTTCTTTGTTGTTTTTACAACCTTGAATATTTTGTTAATGCATGAACTGCGTTATGGAAATAAAACTGTTATTGTAAAGGATCAGTGTTTCTGAATTATTTATACTGTTTACTACAAATCGCATGCAGTATATCGCAGAACTTTTGCAAACTGCGCTTGCAGGATTTGCATAATTCAGATTGTTTCTTCTACATTTGGCATGATTCAGGTTCTCCGCTACAATCACATTTATCCATTTCGACCTAGTCCCACCTACCGTGCTGTACTGTATGTGTTTCTGTTCAGGAAAGGGGCAAAAAATCAGACCTCGTGGTGCTTTAGGACTGAAAGCAAAGAATCTATTTTCTGTTTTCTTATTTTTCAGACTGTCACGAGTCGTGCTCGGAGTGCCGTGGGCCGAGTCAGCAGGAGTGCGTGTCGTGCTCAGACCCGGTCGCCTTGCTGAAAGACGGGGCGTGCGTCCTTGACTGTGGCACAGGTTTCTACAGTCGAGAAGGCGTCTGCCACGGTAAAGCTGACACATATCCACACTGCAGCACGGAAGAGCTGAGTTTCAGTTTTGGCTGGTTTAGTGGAAATAGCACTTTTGCTGACGTCTTTACTAAAAGTAGTGCAACTCCACAGATGCCAAGCTAATATAAGAAACAACACAAAACATTAGGTGTATATATATATATGCACGGATGGTTTGAGTACATCACCATCCAGAAAGCCCAAATATATCTTCTTTAAGGAATCAGTTTACCTCTAGCTTGTGGTGATTTGTGCACATTTAGTTTCGTTGGCCAGTTTTGAAGTTATCAGCTGTAGATGTGTCCACTTTCCCTCGAATGTCATGACAGTAAATGGCCACAAAATTGTTATTATATTAAGAGTTTTTATTATTATTATATATTAACTTATCCGGCCAACTGCTACCAAACATTCTAGATGGATAAACAGCACTATGAGCCGTCTCAGGAAGCTACAATCTCTGATTTGCTTCCCTCTGTTAATTAAACCCAACCAAAATGTTTTAGTTTGAATCAATGTGTTTAAAATACAATGATTTTATCCTCTACAGGTCGAGCGTATGGAAGCACAGAACTGCCAGCCAGGCAAAAGAAAATGGGTTATATCATATAAATATCTGATATATATACACACATATCTATAACGTGAAAACTTTATTGTTCTAACAATATACTTTCCATCTTTGAACAACATAATATCACTTTATTACAATATACATAACTATCACGTTATAACAAAAAACCTTTCGCGTTCTTACAATATAAATATTATTTTGTACGAACGAGATAATTATATTGTTTGAAAAATAAAGTTTTAACGTTAAAACATATATTTTATTTTTCGAACATGATATATTTGTTTGCCTTAAAACATAGTTTGAGAAAATGGCTCGTTTATCGGAATTAGTTAAGTTGTATTTTATGCTTGGATTGAGGCATAACGTGTGATAATGTGACATTGTATTGTAATAACATGACATTATCTTTTTCATATTATCATTTTTATATGAAAAAGTTATTGTTAGAACAATAAAGTTTTCACATTATAACATGATACAGCTGTTTTTGTTTTGCCTGGTTGGCAGCTCTACGCTTCCGTACTAATGTGAATAGACTCAGTGTTGTTTTTCTTTTTGTACTAAATAATGCCAGTTTCATTTTAGCCTTCAGATTTTGTGACAGTCTGTGATTTTCCCTTTTCAAAGATTTTCTTTGAACAGCTTCAAGGAAATGAAGCAAAAACCTTTTGGGAGAACTAAAATGAAGTGAAGACATGAAAACAAGATATAAACTTTTTGTATTTCTTTATAATAATGACTCAGACACCGTGGTTCTTCTGTAGAGGCGTTTTAATCCATTTTCTGTTCTCTTTAATGCAGCAGTTAGACTCTTTGTACATAAAGCACTTCAAATTGCAGGTAACACTTATGCTTTTAAATGTAATTTCTCCTCTGGGGGAAAAATAATATCATTTTTATTATTTTAGTCCTAAAACCACAAAGCGTCTGTAAGAATGGATTCTGGGGAAACCAGGTGCCTGAGGGTTTGAATCCAAACTGGCACCTCCCAGTTTGAAGCACAGCCCAGTTTGGAGTTGCCAGATACATTTAAATAACTTGCAGTTTGTTTGTTTTTTCAATTTAATAATAAAAATGTACAGAAAAGTTTAAAGGGGAAAAGAAACCATACATTTCTGTGTGAGGTGTTTGCTGTGCGACTTCACTGGCGAGTGAACGGTCACATTCCCACGAAGTGCCGTTGCCCAATGCAGTAAACAGTAAACACTATCTGAGACGATGGAAAGTTTATTGTTAGCAGTGAACTGAAGGTGAAGATTTATTTGGGTGTCTTTCCCCCCGCGGAGCTTCCTGCAGCATCCACTCGGCATGATGCCAAAATGATAAGGCAGCAGTAGCAAACAAACAATTAAAAAAAAATACAATAATTAGCGATTCTCTCTCGCACTAATGAGGAGTCTGAGGCTTCTGAAATAAATAGATCCCATATGAATATAGATGCTTTCTATTTCTGAGTGGTAAGATGAGGAAGAGGAAGAATAGTCCCCCCTCAGGGCGACGGTGAACTTAGCCAAGCTCTTTTGGTTAAAAAGACCCAGAGGGGCCGGGATGGTGGGGTGGGCTTTTCTTCTGCTGTTGCTCACAGGACAGTTTTGAAGCGCTCAGTGAGGAGCCCTCTTTCAGAAAATGTCAAAAAACCAATGGAACTTTCTAGAAAAAGGTCGAATCCATTTGAACTTGCCAGCCAGCGCTTTGAGGCCTGGTTTAAAATGTCACCATCCTGAGAGAGCTGAAGGGCTTTTCCTCCGCGGGGCTTCCTGGGACTTTAGAAGTGAAAGATTTTCTTTTTTTTTTCATCTCAAGTATGCTGCAGCAAAACCACCTGCTGAGGGAACGGTTTAGTGCATGTGTGCATGTTATGCTAAGATACCTCGGGTACCTGAGAGTGAAGATTTGATCCATTGTTGGATTTTTTTTAGATTATTTGTTGCCTTTTACCTCTTTTGTTCATCTTTTCAGCCATCTGCTTTCCAGTTTCTGTCATTAAAAGTTGGACTCGTTGTTGTCTTGCCTAAGTGACTTTTGATTGTATTTGAAGGACTGTTTGTTTAGGAGACTTTCCTCTTGCTTGTGGATAATTCAGCCATTTTTAAATTGACCTCAGTGCATTTTGTCATGCCAACAAAAAGCCATTAACGTTTACACGCTGCGCTTCACAGCCTGTGATTCGTCCTGTGCCTCCTGTTTTCCCGACAACCCCAAATGTATGAGCTGCCCACCGGGGACTGCCTTGCATCATGGGAAATGTCTCAGCCAGTGTCCAGCTCAGCATTACCTGGACAGCCAAAGCAGATGCAGAGGTAAGTGTTTGCTCTGAAGTGGAGATGTTTGGACATCATGCACAGCATGTTTGTCAAATAATAGCATATACATGCAAACACCTCATACCTACAATTAAGAGCTTGTTGTGCAGCTATGTTACCTGGCACCTTGCAATTTTTGAGTCCACCATGAGCTCCTCTGTTTACAAAAGTATTCAAGGTCAAACGTGAGGCCATCTGTCCAACGGCTAAAACCCAAACCGAGACTTCAGCCCTATTAAAAGCTTCTCATTACTTTAATTAGAGAAGAAAACTTCTAAAATAAATCCTGTAACCTACACAGTTTGTGCCATTTTATTTAAGGGTCAAACCCTTAAATTCATACATAAATTTTTCCTAATAATTAAAGCGTCAGGTTCTACTGAGCTTACTAAGTTTTACTTCCTGTTTCATGGGTAGTTCTGTGTATCAGACTAAAGATCTTAAATGCTTATTTTCTTTGTGTCCCCAGCCTGCCACAGCTCCTGTGCCTCCTGCTGGGGTCCCTCGGTATCCCAGTGCACCTTGTGTCCAGGCGGACTACTTCTCCACCAGGGCCAGTGTGTGGAGGCCTGTGGGGAGGGGCTGTATGCTCAGGACTACACCTGCCACAGTGAGAGTCTAAATACATTAATAAAGTATCCTGTTAAAAAAACTTTTCTTCCTTGTCCCCAGAGTGTAACTGCCTCTCTATGATGTTGTCTGTCCTCGCGCCCAGACTGTCATCCCTCCTGCCGTTCTTGTGTGGGACCCCTGGCCTCAGACTGCCTCCGCTGCCTCAAACCGGAGGAAGCTCTTCTTCCGCAATCGAGTCACCTTCAGCACAGCGTCTGCACAGCTGGGTGTCCCACGCGCAGCTTCCTGGATGACATGCAGACATGCAGAGGTGAGTGTATTAAATGTTTTATTTAGCTTCCTGTATAATTCAGGAGAGGCGGTACCTGCGAGGCCAGAAAGGATATTTCTGCTGCTGTGGATCATGGTCGCTAATTAACACGCCAGCCATCGCTCACTTTGACTTTTAAAACAGATCAAATAGTCCTAATAGCACTAACTACGTTTAAGCCTGGTGAAAGCCAAAAAAAACAAATTGTAAAATCCACGAATCAAAGCCAAAGCTTAACTCTTTTTAACAACAAATCGTGCCCTCATTTGCATTAGTAGTAATGAAATACTTACTCTGAATCGACAGAATATTAATGTGCAGTTAGGGTGACAAGTAAACTGGATATTAAACATAAAATTATAAAAGAAACAATTAGTTGCTTCATAAATAAGTAATGAGCAGAGTAATTAATCATGAAAATGTTAATTAGTTGAATCCTAAATATTGAATGAATTGTAGTTTTTGCTCTAACTTATTAAACAACCTGAAAGCTGGATTTATGCTCTGTTTATTCTGTGTACTGAACTGCTGGTTAGCGCTGGAAACATCCTGGCTTCATACATTTCTGATATCAGAACTGAGGAGTCTGCGTTTGAAATTCATGATCTGGCATTTGCACCTACTGTGTGAAGGGTAGGCACTCCATGATGCAAGGCTTTTCCCTCCTTTACTCTAAAGGTCCCGTTGGTAGACTGTAGGTGCTGTTTGCAGCAATTTGCAGACCCACATCTACAAGTTGTAGCTGCCACTCTCAGAAATATACGGCAGTTGCTTAATTCTGTTTGTGTTCTTGTTGCTGCAGAGAAAACATACGTCATGATATGCAAAGAACTTCTTTGTAGTAAAGTGAAACAGATCCTTAAAAGCAAAGGTTGTTCTCCTTTGTGATTTTAAACCAATCCGCATTTTGAATACATGGATTCTGCCGTGGTGTTGGTGGTTTTCCTACAATCTATGTCTGTGTGGAACCTGAGAACTAAAGATACGGGCATATAACGTGTCCTTTCAGCCATACTTAATGACCTTGTAGTACCATATCTCCCCTTTAGAGCACTTCGCTCTCGCACTGCAGGCTTACTTGTTGTTCCTAGAGCATTTAAAAGTAGAATGGGAGGCAGAGCCTTCAGTTTTCAGGCCCCTCATCTGTGGAACCAGCTTCCAGTTTGGTTTCATGAGACAGACACCATCTCTACTTTTAAGATTAGATTTAAAACTTGCTAAAGCATATAGTTAGGGCTGGATCAGGTGACCCTGAATCCTCCCTTAGTTATGCTGCGATAGGCATGGGGGATTCCCATGATGCATTGAGTTTTTCCTTTTCAGTCACCTTTCTCACTCACTCTGTGTTAATAGACCTCTCTGCTGAATCACACTTGTTATGAATCTCTGACTCTTTTCCACAGCATGTCTTTTATCCTGTCTTCCTTCTCTCACCCCAGCCGGTCGCAGCAGATGGCCCCGCCCCTCCCTGAGCCTGGTTCTGCCGGAGGTTTCTTCCTGTTAAAAGGAAGTTTTTCCTTCCCACTGTCGCCAAAGTGCTTGCTCATAGGGGTTCATATGATTGTTGGGTTATTCTCTGTATGTATTATTGTAGGGTCTAGCTTACAATATAAAGCATCTTGAAGCGACCGTTGTTGTGATTTGGCGCTGTATAAATAAAATTGGATTGAACTGAATATAATTTTAGATTTAAAGGATTGTGTACATTTGTATCTTTTTCTGTTTCCCCAAAATAAGTGAATTCAATGTTTTACACTTCTGAAAATCAGACACTTGATCCAAGTGTAACTGTTGGTGTTTTGGCTTAACACTGAAAAGTCTTTCAAAGGTTTTTCCCTGAATTTGAGCTTGAAATTAATTAAGACTTGTGTAAGCATGTGTGGAATTTGTAGGTGTGCGTGTAGATGGCTGGTTAGCATTTTTTTTCCAGTGTGAAATTGTGCGTGTAATGGACAAATTTTTAAGATGGGATTAAGGTTTGAAGGGGAAGTCGAGTGAAGTGAGAATAATTATCACCTACCTACCAACAGACTGTCCTTCCCAGAATGCTACGAGGATTTTTATTTTTTTCAAATGTAAAGCAGGACAACAATGAAGAGACTGTAATTGATTTCATTTGCCTCCCTCGTATGTGCTGTGCTCTGAAATATGTCCTGTTAACAACAATCAGCCCTTTGCTATCTTCTTACTCAGTCCTTCTGTCCTTGTGCCCGCTGACCATACTGCATTCAGTACCTGGCAGGGAGTCGGGTATTTGTTCTCTGTGCCTGTCACACAGGCAGATCTTTTGCCAACAATGCTGTTTCTTTGGTTCAGCTCTACTTTCTCTTCAGCTCACTTTTCATCTGCTGGAGCTGCTTTCACCTTTGAATGGGGTAAAACACACAGTGTGGTTTTATAGCTGCTGCTTACATAAAGGTGGGATTTTAACTACTTACGTGACACAGAGAGGCTTTGTGAGCGCGTCAGTAGGAATGTTTTTGCTTTAGAAGCAAAACATTGATGGGATCTGCTTAAAGCTAGTCGACTTTTCCATTTTAAAGCCTACAGCACCATTTGAACACATTTTCTATTGATGTATGTATTGTGTTTTTCCCCCTTTAGTCCTGATTTATACTAATTGTTATATGAGAACAATTAGTTTTCAACCTGTGGTTTGCTAATTCACCATCTTGGTTTTTGTGGATCCGGATGTTTAAATGAGAAGTGTGCTAAGTCATCAGCAACCTCTAACCATCTTTTAGCTCCATAAATAGCACAGATGTTGTCTGATGACTCAAACCCACTACTCCCACTGGTAGTAGCTTTGATCGCTTTGTGCTCTGAGCTGATATTTGTTTGGTTGATAGTTGGATTTACCTGCTACAACCTCTCAAATTTGATTGGTTGACACTACTGGGGCTCCAAAGGCAAACCGGAGGGCCTCAACTATCAAACACACTACACTACTCGACATTTACAGATATCTCTTCAGAGAAGATCTTATCTCAGAGGTGTGCTGACACCTTTAGATGTTTCCAGGAGACGTCTAGTCTGGCCTGCTTGTTCTTGAGTGTAACCAGTGGTTTGCCCTTTGCTGTAAATTCTCATGAAGTTGTCTTGATAGTGACATGCATACCTTTGTTGCATTAGATATTAAGTCATTAAGCCATTAAATCCTAACCAAGTAAATCATTCTGAGATCATCCACTTAGTTATCTTCTGTGGTCTTTCAGGCATTTTGGTGTTGCTCAGCTCACCAATGGCATTCCTCCTTATTAAGACTGTATGGGATTCATGATTTGTCTCTCAGACACCAAATGTGATTTCAATACTTTGAATCAAGTTAATTTGTCATCAAATAATGAGGGAGCAGTCCCCACCTGGCCGTGAAGCTGCTCGTCAGTAATCGTCCAATTGCTATTGAGCCTCTGAGAAAGGAGGACTATGTCTAAAAGTGGTTTATGGTTAACAGTTAATGCAATATTTTTATTAAACCTGTTGAATTACAGCGGCACTCAGATGTTGAATGTTTGATTTAAATTCCACGGCGGCGGTGTAAAGAGGCAACATCAAACCCTGTCATTGTCCAAATATTCATTCATGGACTGACACATGAGGATGTGGAGCGCCCCTCAAATACCTCACTGATGAAGAACAAAATGTTATCTAATGAATATTTCAGCAGTAAGTGAGAAGTGATGAAGCGATGAGTGCTTTTATGAACCGCTTTCTTCTTTACTTATTCAGGTTTGCAGAGATTTTATTTGGACTGATGTGAACAGTCAGCACATCGCTGAAGGAAATGAAAATGCAGAGTTTTACCGCTATATTCACAACTGAAGTACACTGTTGCCTATGGCCGAAACTTCCAACTTCCAAGCAGTTTGTGGAGACGAGACAACCGAGCGCAGAAAACGAGGCAAGCTGCGCTCTTGGATTGTTGGGATTTCCCACAGTGCCGCGGATAAATCCTCGTCTGTTTACAGCAGCTCAACAGCTGTGTTTCAAAGCGTGAGTGCAGTTCAGTGAGCACGTCAATTACAGGCTGCTCTGAGGAATGTCTTCATAGTTTCCTGTTAGCTGAAGTTCCCCTCGCAGCTCGGAAACTGTAATTTGTTGCTCACGTTGTTAATACTTTTCCTGTGTGGTTTCTTACATTAGGCCAGTTAATGAATATAAGCGAGGTAAAAAGCACTGTTGGTTTGCTGCTACAAATGGACACAGTTCTTAAACTCGAGTTTGCATTAAAGTGATGAAATGAGTCAAAAGTTAGCTCTCGTGCTTCTTAAGCTTAAGTAAGGGGCGTTTTGGACCTGTGGGCTCGAACAACCTGAATAAAAAGAAAGAAAAATCCTCATTTTGCGTCACGCTTGAACACTCTGCAAATATATCCTTGCACTCACTTTGCTTTTAGGGATGTTAAGCCAAAAGCCATTTAAGTAATAGCTTGATTTGTCTCCTCACGACAATTTGTTTTTAAGTTCAGGCAGCCAAGAAAATTTTGTTTACTTTACCTGGAATTGAATAGCCCTTAGCAGTATTGAATTTCCTTAATCATCCTGGGGGGCACAATTACAAATCAATGAGTGGGATTGGAGTGTCCTCTAACGCTCATTCGTCTCTGTGATCACTTGGGACCGACACTAAACCGATGTAGACTCTAAAGTGGTTTTAAGAAAAGTGTCTGAAGCTATTGTCACTAAATGGAAGTTCAGTTAGTAGCAAGACGTGCATGTATACACACAGTTAACAGAAGGCACGGCAGCCATGACACCACCAGTGTTTGAAAAACAGTGAAATCAGCACCTGGATGAGTCTTTTTCCTTTAATCTTGTGGAAGATGTGGTTGGATGTAAAATAGCAGAAAATATTTAAAAGTATCAAAGTTAAAAGGTTGCTGTAACTTTGCAGAGGGTAGACCAGTTATTTCTGACGCTCCAGCCTGTTATCTTCGTCGGTTCCTCTCTATTTCTGAACAAATACACTCTCTGACCGCTTTAATAGGTACGTTCAACTGC